TTTGCTCAAAGATTTGACCATTGACCGTGGGTAATATTTTGTCAAAAATGGCTCCATAAGAATTCTTTATTTTTAAAATAATACATATACATTTTTTATGTTGCATAAAATGTTTGTGCTGACTCTGAGGAATCTTTATTAATTTTTATCTGTCTATCCCACAGGATCCAGTCTTATTTGGTGCAACTGTACGATACAACCTTGATCCATTTAAACAATACAATGATACTAGCATATGGAAGGCACTAGATCAGGTATATACTATAAGACAATAATGATTAGCCACTTATTGATAATGTATGCATGTAATGTTACTAATGTAGGTTCAACTGAAGAGTGTAGTGGAATGCCTTGAAGGAGGTTTGGAGACTACAGTAAGTGAAGGAGGTGGCAACTTTAGTGTAGGTCAGAAGCAGCTGTTCTGTTTAGCCAGAGCTCTCCTTCAGAGGAACAATATTCTGATATTAGATGAAGCGACTGCTAATGTTGATATAGAGTGAGTTTATCTACCACAATTTATGTACTTATTAGGTTTATGTGTATTTGCATGTAACTACATGTACAATCATTCCAACTAATTTTTTGAGTTATGGCCTTTTAAAAAATATACCAATACCCAAGGCTATAGCACATGGTTTTTAAAAAATGGCTCCAAAATCACTCCCAATTTTTATTACATTTTCTGATACATATTGATGTCCTTATGCTACGCAGAAAGTTTGAGCCGATTCCGACTTCAATTTTTCAAGTTATGGCCCTTTTAAAAAATCACCAAAATTCTGAAAAATACCCAAGGCTATAGTCCATGGTTTTTTCAAAAAAATGGCTCCGAAATCACCCCCAATTTTTATTACATTTTCTGATACATATTGATGTCCTTATGCTGTGTAGAAAGTTTGAGCCAATTCCAACTTCAATTTTTCAAGTTATGGCCATTTTAAAAAATCACCAAAATTCTGAAAAATACCCAAGGCTATAGTCCATGGTTTTTTCAAAAAAATGGCTCCGAAATCACCCCCAATTTTTATTATATTTTCTGATACATATTGATGTCCTTATGCTGTGTAGAAAGTTTGAGCCAATTCCAACTTCAATTTTTCAAGTTATGGCCATTTTAAAAAATCACCAAAATTCTGAAAAATACCCAAGGCTATAGCCCATGGTTTTTTCAAAAAAATGGCTCTGAAATCACCCCCAATTTTTATTACATTTTCTGATACATATTGATGTCCTTATGCTATGCAGAAAGTTTGAGCCGATTCCGACTTCAATTTTTCAAGTTATATGGCTTTTTTTAGAAAGTAGCAAGACTATTATAATTAAAAATGCTGTAATTAAACAATTGATGTGTATACATACCAATACCTTAGGACTGATGCTATCATTCAGCAAGTGATACGTGAGCAATTCACTGAATGTACCATACTTACCATTGCTCATAGATTAGATACAGTTATGGACTCTGACAAGATAATGGTATTATATAGTAATGATACATAAAGTATATGTACATATAACATGTCTACATAGGTACTGAGATCTGGTGAACTTATAGAATTTGACGAGCCTCATATGCTCCTCAATCAGTCGTCATCTTATTTCAGTAAATTGGTGGAACAAACCGGACCAGCCAATGCTGAAAGACTTAGGAATATGGCAATGGAATCTTATTGTAAGAGACACAACTGATTAACATAACGATTGGTTTAATTGGCACATTCTTAGAATAGCGGGCATTTTCTTACAATTCAATGTTATTTTTAATTTACGACTAATTTCTAAGTTCTACTAACAGTGTAGTGGGGTGATGCGTTGTAATGATAACACTTGCTCATTAAATTGAAGCTATCAGTTTGTACATAGTCAGTCATGATGACTCAGTATTATTGTAATATTATTAATAATTGCTAAGTTAACTGAGGTGTACTCAGCCTTAATAAGGCAGTGTAGTGTTGCACTCTGTGAGAATGTTACTAGTTTCTTTTACCATCTGTTAGTGCCATCAATGCAAACACGTCTCCTTATATGTGGAAAGCATTGAGAGAATTGTGTACTGTACTGGAACAGGAAGTGGGAGAGCAAATTGTAAACGATATTAGGGTGACTAAGAGGGTGAGTGAAATTATGACAAACAGAGTCATTGCATAACCGACTTGGCTCACTGCCAAAGGATTAAGTGCATGTCATTATCCTCCATATATGTGCGATCGTATGACTGGTGCGTGTCACTATTAACAAGTTATGCTAACACGTTTGACCATAGTAACACTTAAGGGTAGACATAACATGTTTAAGCATTAACTGATAACTGTTAAGAGAATATCACGTGCTGGGCTGTTGCTTGGACATGACAATTGTAAGAGTTTATTCATGCATCACAAAGGATAATGCAGCTAGAAATAATGGTAAACATAATGTGGGACTTTATTGTAATGTCCAAGGACTAAGGAGTAGCTAGGGCAATGAGCTATTTTGACAAACAACAGCTTTCATATTCTATAGTCTCTATTCACTACATGTATTAAGTTCTACTAACAATGTGAACTGAATCATAATTGTTAAGTAGAATCCAGATGATCAGTAATTTTCAATAATAATTTAGCAAGAGTATTACCAACATTAATATGGTAATAATAATAATAATAATAATAATAATAATAATAATAATAATAATAAAAACTGGGATGAAAATGATAGTGTGCATGAATGAGTGACAATAAGTACCTGTCGGATTACTAATGTCATAGATTTATGAGAGAGGAAGAGAGACAGAGACAATAACATCAGACTAAATCATGTATAGAGAGAGGGCAGTAGGAAGAGTAAAGGAGATTGGATATTGCTATGTGTATGCATGTGAAATGTGTGTTTATGCATGTGAATGGAAGTATCTCTCTACACAGAGGCTTCATTAATTCCCACTTGAGCTTCGTCCACGACCTGAGCCATTTGTTGAAGATCAAGCTGTGCGCTCTCAGTAGCAGCAATTTGGTTAGTGTTTTCAGCCGTTTTCCCTGTATTTTTACTAATTACATCTAGAATCTGATTTGTTTTCTTTGTCTCTTTAAGAAGCTCCTTTAATGTGGCACCATCAATCTCCTCCTTCGGTTTTTTCTTCTCTGAATCGGTATCTTCAAGATATGATGCACTAGGATTACTAATAGTATGTCCATTAGGAGTATGATTCTCGTATAATGCTCCATTGGTGTGATTTAAAGTCGGATTGTCAGTCTTTAACATTCCTCGCTGTAACGTTGAGATATCATTAGGGTCTCCTTCCACTTGAACTATCTTAAAACCTTCAGCTTCAATCAAGTGATCTGGAGTTTTATCATGTTCAACGATGTGCCACCACTTTAACTTCTCCCTGCCTTTTGGGCTTCCTCTGCTCATGATTGCTTTAGCGACAGGGTCTTGAGGATCAGCGTGCACAAATATTTCATGACACGATGGGTTCTCAAGAGACTCTAGTATCTCGTCATCACTGTGTAATAAAACACATTTGTTGCCATACTTTTCTTTCCACGTACTCCCAATGTGAGTATGCCTTTCACCACAGTAAACGGCAGTATCTACATGTATGTCATTAGAGATGAAACAATAATAATAATAATAATAACACTAATAATACTAATACTATTACTACTACTAGTACTAATAATGATGATGATGATGACACAAAATTAGGCACACTCAATATAATGTGCTTGTAATGCTGATAAGAGTGATGACAAAACAAACTTACAGTCTTCCTGTTTTGTTGTACTTGGTGTGCTTGATGTAGCTACATAAGAAGAAAAAAGAAATGAAAGAAAATATGAGGGAAGGAGACAGGCAGAGAGAGGATGTAAAAAAAAGAAAATGGTAAAATATAGTAATAAAAAGGAGCATGAGCAATTTAACAACAACGATTGTTGTATACTTACAAGATGGTCTGCTACCATGAGGCTGTGATGTAACTACAAGGGGTTTAGTTGAACTATTGCTATCAGTTCTGCCGGACTCGGCTATCAGTGGTATACCTCCTACTGTATAAGGAACAGTAATACAACCAGCAATGCTGTCTCTCAAACACATTCACTTCATAAATGCTAATTCAGTGATTACTACTACCTCACACTCTACTATTGCTTACTTTTGACTTCATCATCTCCAAGTAATTGCACGTTGGATGGTAGGGTCTCTGAAACTCTTCCATTTTTTAACTTTCTGTAACAAAATGCTACTACTATCACAAATATTATTAAAACAGCAACCCCAAGAAGACCAAGCACAGCACAAAATACATAAACGACCAAGCTGATGCCTATAATAAAGAAATAATTATATGAAATTAAAACTTATAATAAATAGTCTACTGTTGAATAAAAGCTCTATTGATTAGGCATACACTAGACTACAATATAAGATATTTGTTATCATATAACACATGGTATAGTTAACATTAGGAATGCATACGCATTCAAATGCATATACTACTCATGCACATATACACACACACGTGTACACATAAGTGTAAATACAGTTCTAGAAGTATCTCTAGGGCTATTACATCATCATCTTATAATCAAATTGTGACTATCTATTACATAACTAACCAGAAGTATCATCAGTTGGTACAGGAGACAGAGTTACTAATAAGGAAGAGAGAAACATATTATAATACAGTGCAGTGTCAGCAATATATGTGTACAAGAATGAATGTGACAGATGGTGATGATAGTAGCAGTAACTAGCTCATCACTACAAATAAACATACACTGAGTCTTACTGGTAGTATCCACAGATGGAGAAACACTAGAGCCAGTAGTGGAAATAGTAAGAGAACTGTCACTAGTGCTGACAGCTGATGATGGTGTGATAGTAGAGTCAGTTGTAGTGGGGGAGGGAGAAATCGTTGTTGTTAATGGGGAGACTGAAAAAGAGAGAGGGGGGGGGGAAGAGACAGTTAATGATTCACTAGTGATCTTTTTCTTCTTCTTACCATTAATAGTGAAGTTGGTTGTATAGTTAACTCCACTGATATTAACAATCATAGCGTAGGTGCCGGAATCAGATACACCAGGATTTCTGATGAGAACACGAACTGGCTTTGGAACAGGGGTGCTCATCATACTAGGAGCACAATAGCTATTAATATCAATAAACCTATTGATAGAAACCCCAATATTACTAGATGGGACAAGACGAAAATCACCGCTAGCCGACACTTTATAAAGATTTGGTTCCATAACTTCTTCTAATTGTCCAGCTTTTGATAGTCCAAAATAAGTCAAAAAAATGAAATCGGCTGAATAGGATTGTCCTTCATCAAGGGATACGGAATTATTCGAAGGCTCAATCAGAAATATTCCCTTTGGAGCTGAAGGAAGAAGAGAGGCTACTAACATATTAAAAACAAAACACTTACCATCTTGCACATTCAGAGTATAAGTCCCATTTACTAGAAGGGAGAGACTTCCTACACTATTACCACGATTAGAGACGAAACTATTCAAGAAGAAGAGCTTCGTTTGGTCAGTACCGACCTCGGTACCGACACAAATCTGGTCGGGAGAGAAGGACTGATTAGAAAAGACACTCGCATTCCCGTTAAGATCATAAATCCAACGAATACTAATATCAGAAGAGCTAGAGCTTAGTGGGCATAGAGGTACACTAGGGGTCCCGCCTATTACAAAAAGAAAGAGAGAATAAGTGCTAACGAGTGTCTCTCAACAACAAAAGTGACTCACCGTAGCTATAATCCCCAACTACTTGGCTTTGAGGAACTTCGGTAGCGTTACAGCTTTCAATACGGAAAGAAAAGTTAGAGGACAGAACGACGTCGAAGATAGAAGGGAGCAACAAAACAGCAAAGAACACTGAAAGCATCTTGTCAATGAATGAAAGTGCTCTTCTCTGTCAAAGCAATTGGCTGATTTGGCTCAAATCGCAAATTACAATTACGTCATCAGCCCACCCATTTTGTTCTATTATTAGATAGAATCTAGAGTTGCCACACCCAACAGATCTAGATTACCATAGAGACATAAACCAGATAAACAAAAACAATGGCTGATCCAGAGAACATCTCCATGGAAAGCCAAGACAAGGTCCTCATAGAAAAAGACGGTCAATTTGAACTGGTAAACTCAACGGAGGTACAAGCTGACATTTTGGCGCTAGAGGATAACAAGACCGATGATAGTGAAATCTCGCGAAATATCTCACAGGAAAACGACCCAATTAAGTCGTCAGCTAATTATGAAGCCAAAGGCAAGCTAAGTGACACAGAAGAACCATTGGCTCCTGAATTAGATAAAATATCTTCACAGACACCAGACAAAATGCCAACTCAAGCAGTGGAAAGCAACGACGATAAAATAGCTAGCAGCAATAATGATAATACAACCTTGAATGTAACTGAAGAAGCAATAGACAAAACACAGACTGAAGCAGAAAGAGTAAACATTAGTCAAACTACCATTGAACCAGAAACAGAAATGAAAAACGAAGATGCAGTAACTGTAGACATGCAACCTGAAAGTGAAATACGTGACACTAGTAGAGCAGAAGGAAACAGCGCTATAGGCGAATCAATGTCCCTACAGGCAATGGACAAACCTCCATCAAGTAGCATGACCAGTTCGGCGACCACCAGGCTAAGTAGAAAGTCATCGGGTCATAGAAAGACTAAAATGAATGGCGGTAGATCGAAATCAAAACGACTGTCTCTGCAATCAGCTCCGTCAAGACTCAAAGACAAAAACGAACGTGCGCTATTGAATGAGAGAGCTTTTCGCTTGTGGGTAGAAAAGAAAAATGCAGAGCTTCAGGAAAAGAGAAGGAAGATGAAAACTGAGCCACTAGAAACTGAAGAAGATAAATTAAAGAGAAACCAGAAAGCTTTTGAAAGTTGGCTAAGAAAGAAACAGAAGCAGATAATTAGTCTACGAATGGCAGAAGAAGCAAAAGCCCAAAATGAGCTAAGCAAGGAAGAGAAGAAAGAGAAAGAAAAGGAAATGTTTAAGTCCTGGGTTCAAAAGAAGACAGAGGAGAAAACTAAACTGAAAGAATTAGAAGAGGCCAAAAAGAAAGAAATGAATATACTGGTCAAAAAGACACCTCAAGACATTGCTCAAAAGGCTTATAAACAGTTAGTTATTTTTATACCATGGCAGAATGATTATTTTTATTAATTTTAGGTGGCTTCATCGTAAAACGGTTGAAGCAAAACGTGAGGCAGCGAGACAGAAGAGATATCGAAAGTTGTTCTTTCAAGAATCTCAACAACTTCACAAAGCACTCACTAATAGGCAAGGGAACATTTTAATGCAATTAATGCTTTACTTGTCAACTTATAGGTTTCAAGGCTTTTAGCTGACCAACTCATCTCAGCACATTATAATGCAACAATGATTATTACTGATTAAAAAGTTTATAACGATCATGTTATTATTATCATTATTATTATTATTATTATTATTATTCATTGTTATTATTTTACTTATTATTCAATTTAAAACTAATTCTTTCTTTTTCTGGCTACATAAGACATCACAGATCTAATTATCTTGACAAGTAAATATATCCATGTAAATAAGAGGACAAGATTCACTAGAGCAAGGGTCTAAAAAGAGAACAAACACTCAAAACAGGTTTTGATACCAATAACACTCACAACTATGAGAGATATCTCTTGAATTGTGCTTAGCTTCAATGGCTCATCAGACACAATGGGCATGTATTCCATTGTGCTTGTTAGATATGATTTATTTGTTGAGAGATCAGGAGTATCACACCAGTGGAATGTGATGGGATCGTCTCTATGAATTCCACTTGATACCCAACCCTCATCACATCTGCACTGTAGATCATCCAACACTCCGTGATTACAGTCAATAGAATCAGTCTAAGTGATATCAAAGACATCGTGTTTACTATAAGAATAATAATATCACTATGCACTAACATCTTGTTGGTCCTTCAGATGAGGCGCATAGTATTTGTAATTTGATTTTATGGCATCAATTTTGGAGGGTATCTCAGTGTCGCTTTCAACGTGTTCAAAATAATTATCATCTTGGAACCACTTGTATTTCACACATATATTCTCTTCCCAGTCGTAGTACTGAAAATCAAAGGAATTCCATAGTAATTAGCAGTTTTACATTAAATTAAAGCAATGTAGGATCACAAGTGTTAAGTTTTGATTTGATAGTATAAAAATGACTTCTTTTTCATAGTTTCTAATTATTTATTCACAATTTGACATCTGCACATAATGGGAACATTACAAAGGATGTGCAACTTAGGGAGTTTCAATTAGATTATTACTAATATCATCAGTCATGACGTTACACAGTATAGTGCATTACTTCCCCTATCAACAGCTGTTTCCTTATTTATGAAAAACAACAGCATCATTCCACATAATAAGGCTTCAGTATGCACTACTGCACCTGAGCTTTGCAACTCTTTGATGAGGTAAAAGAGTTGCTTGACTGTGGCTAATGCACACACCTTGTAGACTGCATTACATAAAGGCAATGTCTTGCTAGCAAGCAAATATTCTGTGAAAACAAACTTCAAATTGCAGTGTTAACGTTTGTACCATAAGGCTATAATTCCACACTGCCTCTGAAATTAGATCAGAGTTGTTAATACGTTAGTATCGCCATGGTTTGTAATTCTTACTAACTCCAGTTATGGTGATGCCGTCATCTGCTCTAGTGTGACATGGAGCCACTGGCTCACACTTGCCCGTCTGCTTCCGATAGAAACTCCTCCTTCCCTTGTACTTAATGGCACAGTCAACTGGTGTACAATCTCTGTCACGATCCTATAAATATAATGTACACGATTCATTAAGGAAATTTAGATCAATTGAAGAATAAAGTGTATACTTAAATACTTAAGTTTTTATGTTGTAAAAAATTAAAAATAGATCTACATGTAAACCACACCCACAGTACATGTATCATGATCATCATCAAAATTACTTGGTCTAATCCAGAGCACTTCACATTTTTATCTTCATCATCAGGAGTTGAATTGAAATTGACAGTGTGGGCCCAGTCTGGCTTTCCATTAGTCCTTATAACGAAGGAACAGTTGCCGACCCTGTAGCGCGCATACTGGAGAGGGGAGGGGCTGGTATAAAGCTAGCTTGCTTTGCGCATCTAATGAGCTCACCAGATTTCTGTATGCAAATGAAACTGTTTCTGTATTGTTTTCTCGAACTTTTCCTAGCTGCACAAAAACGGGAGGGACTCCTTCTAGCGTCATGATCTATAAAAATGACTATGCATTGAAAGGAATGCCGAGAAACCTCTGTACTTGGCAATCAATGTCATCAGTGGCTATTTGAAGGCAACAGGAACCAGGACTGATGAATACTTGATGACTCACCTCATCTGTATTGGTCAATGTCATCCCTACAAATAATAAATTTACCAATTGCCTCAAAACTTGCAAAGTTTTGTTACTGAGAATTAAAGCTGTTGAGTAAAGATGAACTGGATCATTGCCTGAATCCTAAATGCATAAAGTAAGTGATGATAAAACAAATTTTAGTAATTCATTACTGTGATCTGGATAACAGTATTTCTGTTAGTAAAAGCACCACAGCTGCACAGGACGATAATGACGGCAACAAGTAAAACAACATAATCCTTCATTTTCATAGCATTCAACAATAAAAATTTTGTTACCATAGTTACTACTAAAAATAATTATTATTGCAGTGCATGGAAGTTGTTAGATGTAGAATTAAAAAGTAAAAAAATAATCATGAGTTAAGACAGTTTTGATAATTCGGCTGCTAGTCTCTATTGCTGTGATGTGATTTAGTCCTATGCTCTTTAGTTGATGATTTCCTATGTGGAGATCTTGATCTACTTCTTTTGGATTCTGTTGAACCAGACTGCCTTGAAACAGGCATACTACCAGAGCACAATTGCTGTTGTTGATGATAATAATAATAATGTTCAGGGAAAGGACTTGCTAAGAAATGACATCCTCTTAATAGCAAATTCTGCTTCTGTTGGCTAGCCACCATGAGCTCAAGGTCACGAATTCTTAAAGGTAGAGGAAAAGTTATTAAGATAATTATGATCACTAGATATTATAATAGCTCACTGTTCCTGTAATTGTGAGATTTTCTTGTCTCGTCTCTGTAACTCTAATTTGGCAGTTTTGTAAAGACAGGATATGTTTTTCTTAAGAGCTGCATTAGTCACTTCCAACTACAAAATGTACTTTCATAAAACTAGCATTAAGTAGATGTTATCATAGATGATAATTATAATAAAGAGAAATCCCCACATTTCCTTTAGGAGATATAACAGTGCTCACGGCTGAAAAACACAACATAAAATGAATCAAGCCTCATATAAAAGTTTTGATGAATTTTCAAAGTTGCTCAAAAATTGGGCCAAAGTCACTGTACTACAGTACAGGGGCATTGACCAAATTTCATCAAAAATGACTAAGATAGAATTCTCCATTTTTATAATTTTCTCTGATACATATGCATGTTCTTATGTTGTTTCTAAATTGTAAGCTGATTCCGACCAAAATTGAATTTTTCATGAATTTTTAAAGTTGCTCAAAAATCAGACCAAAGTTCCTGTAGAGATAACACTACATGGTCATTGGCAAAATTTCACCAAAAATAAAGAGAAAATTACTGACAAGATATCCCTACTATAGTACAGGGTCTTTTGGCTAAACTTTTAGAAAAATTATGTGACATTATGTCAGAGCCGAGGTCAGAGCCATTGTTGTCTTGTCCGTAAAACTCACCTTCTCTATTGAGAGATGTCTCTTTTCTGATTCCTATTTAAATAATTTTGAAATTTAAATTTGATTATACCAGTTCACTTACCTGATGAACTGGAAAGAAAGGATCTACATCACCATTATCTTCCCTAGAATCCACCATAACACCCTGCCTTAACCATTAACACCCCTGTATTCCCCGCGAAATTTCTCCGTAAAACTAACAATTTACTCCGGATATTAACTCAACTCGTATCGATCCTGAATATTTTCCGGAAATCACGTGGGTGCTTATTGTAGGCGTGACTTTAAAATGCAATTATAATTTTTAACCTTTCCTGAACAAGAAGCTTTTCCTTCCCACAAAGCTAGCTTGCTATCTATGCGCTTATGCAAACAAAGCTGAACTCCACAGATGGCTCAGTCCGGTACCGAGCCAGCTAAAAGGAAAGAGAGGGACTTTATCTTGCTCTCAGAGTTTGCAGAGATACGCCACGGACCACAGCCAATAGTAAGAGAGAAACCTCAAACCACAATCATGTTATCCCCCTCTCCTTTCATTAATTACAGTGCACTATACCTGATGGAGGCGAGGGTAGCTTCGATACTTCCTCTTTCTCCGTGAGGATATTTAGCACTGACTTTCAACAAGGCCAATCAGAGTAATTAATTAATAATAATTATTATTTAAATATTTTTATTATCATTTATTATTGTTGTTGTTATTAGGGAATTTTCTGTGTCTCCAGACTCTCAAGTATTATTGACTGAAACAAGCGATGGTCTGTTTGCTTATGTGAGTTAGAGACATTCTTTCATTATAAGTGATTATGTTTTAATAATTTTGTTTTACATTATCACATGACTCATACTGTGGGTGTGGCCTGATAATGAAATCTTATGCATACATTCATACAAGTAATTTCACTAATTTGACCTTGACATTCTCATTTTGGCTGTGTGTGTACATGTGCCAATGCTCATAGCTCAAAAATTTTGTGGTCAAAAGCTACATTCATGTACATGTATATATTCATCTAACTGATGTGCTTTTGATGAAAAACCATGAGCATGGTGGCCAAAATACATGTACATGTAATTGATTTCTGTGCAATGAGTTTATTTTTATTATGACAGGTGCATTACTTTGCTCTTAATGACATTGAAGCAAGAGGCTACATGCGTCAGTATTGTCTCTCTTACCTAACGGCCTCTCCTTCAAAGCTCATTGATAGCTTCCAACGGATTAAGAAAGACTTTAGTGAGGTAATGATGATACTTATACAGTGAAGAGGGGGAAAGAGAGAGAGAGGGAGAGAGAGAGAGAGAGGGAGGGAGGGAGAGGGAGAGAGAGGAGGAAATGAACAGTGGAGAGTAATAAAGAAAGTATGAGATAAGGAAGGAGTGCGAACTGTTATAGTGGGAGTCAGTTGAGCCAAAAGTGGACTGTATATGTTTTTTTTTGTAAAAATAAACTAATCTTATTATCCATATTATTGTAATGTTTATTTTTTCAAAGGTCACGTCACTTTTTAAATGTGGCAATCATAAAGTCTTTAGGCACGACCTTAATGCCAGATTGAAGGACATTGAATTCTCACTGGATGAACTTAATGAGGATAAGCAAAGAGTTGAAGACAATTCATTGGTATGAGCCTTCATGTGCAGTGTGTATGTACATGTACATTGTTATTGTTTCATAGTATAATGGATGCTACGAAGATATCCCTGAAATGAACAAAAGTGTTTTACTCAAAGACAGAGAATTTACAAAGAAAATACTAGATACGATAAACTTTGAGATGGTAATTGAGTTACAATGATGCTCTGTTATTGTTGTTGTTCTTTTTTGTCAATAGCAATCTGAAACCAACAAGAAATTTCATGAATTGATCAGAAATTGTGACTCAAACGATGTTGTCAGAAAAAGTATGAGAGAGAGAGAGAGAAGAATTATGCTCATAATAATGATTTCACTCTTCTTCCTTTTAAAGGAGGCAATTCTAATTTCTATACTACAGCTAGCTTCACACAAAGTGAGTTCATTCAGAGTAAATGTTTGTGTTGGAGTTATTCAATGCTTGTCTGTGTTTGTTTAACATCATTGAGTACACAATGTATACCTGATGCATGTACCTGTATTATTGTGTGTGGTGTCTTTGCCAGGTGTGCACAAGCCTAAAAGAATAATGGCCCATTTGTCACAAAGATTCACAAGACAGCAAAGGTAGTATTAGTCTTAGTGCACTGTAGTAATGGAAGACAGGGAGACACATAAGAGAGAGAAAGTGAATAGAGAGTAACTTGTAATCAAATGTTAAACACACAAGGACTGATAGAGGAGTGTGAAGGAGTGATCAGTGTTATCATTGATAATATTTACTATGCTACTATACTCTTATGTGTACTGTACATTAGGACACTAAATGAGCTGTCTTCATTGGGATACCAACTAGCCATCAACACTCTTAAATCCTTATTTGAGGTATGCACGGAATCCTGGTACTAGTAGTATTGTACTCATCTTTAGTGGGTTTTAGTATTAATGACTAACGAGGTTCTTTTTTAATAGAAATATTGCAGATCCGAGTTTGCATTACGCATGGAGCAAATGGAGAGCGAGCTACTAAGTAAATTAAAGAGAGAAGAGAATAAAATAAAGAATAAAGAGGATATTAAGAGACTTTATATTTGTTTTTAGATCCATTGTCGTCCTTACTAACTGTTGGAAGAGTCCCAATGATCAATGTCCTTCGATCGGCAGTTTCCCCACCTCTTAATTACAAGATAATATCATCAAGCGATGAAGAGTCACTGTTTCAGATCAGACAGCAATTGAAATTCAATTCGTCGTCATTATTAAATAATGAAAACTGCAGCAGGTAGGGGTGACCTATCCTTCCTATTTTAGTGTACTGTACACTTTATCTTTCTTCTATTTCTAGTGTATTGCTGTATTTAGATCCACTGCCAAGGCAGCGTATGGTTAGTGTGGTTGATCCATTAGGTACTCCACACAATCACTCGCTCATGCAAGTCGACCCTCGCTATTCACGCCATTCTTACGACCCACGCCAACCTATCAAGGAAGACCCTTACGAGAAAGAAGACTTGGAGTACCACGAAAACTCTGACACCAATACTCGCACTCATAACGGTATATACCATCAGTACGATAACGATAGGGACAACCCCAGGGAGTGGGAGGGGTCAGCTAGTCACGACGCCCACCAGTCTAACGAGAGAGTATCCAGTTCGTACAATACCCCTGATCCCATTCCTTCGCCCACACCCGATATGGTGGGAGAGGTACATCCGTACGCCACACCGCCACAAATCAATCACAGTGACGTCATTAAGAGACTGAGCGACAGTCATAAGGATCAAGAGCTAGTCGCAAGCGGCTCTACCAAGTCTACCGAATATAAAGAACCTAGTAACTCACTGGTAATCGGATCAAACGACTCATCTCGATCTGAGCTCATTCACTCTCAGCCTCAGATGAATTCACAGTCTGTCCCTCCTAATAAATTAGATCTTCATTCATTTGATGAGTCCTCCAATACCTACTATACACCAGCTGTACCATGTAAGCCATGGACTTCAAACTATTTTTCATTTAAATGTATTTTTATATTATTAGATCCACCGATGTTTAGTGGACTCCCTTCTCACCGTAGAGCATCAGGGATATTTAACCATCAGTAAGAGAGAGAGGAAGTAAAATCCTTTAAAATATTTATTCTTCTTTCCTTTATAGTGAAGGCTACCCTTTTATATCATCAGTTCATCTAATAGAGTCTTCATCGCCTCACAAACCCGGCAAGGAACTGGTGTCATTGTTTAAAGACGTTCCTGAACTGAGGGACATTCTCTACTGCCTCCTGATAGGGCGGCCATTTGCAATAATAGCTAGTCAGAGAGATGAGAAGTGAGTGGGAATGAGAGAGAGAGTGTGTGTGTGCATGACATTGTGTTTGTATTGCTCTGTAGATTAGTGAGGAGACATATTAGGGCATTGTGGTTGTTTGTTGCTGGTTATAGCAGGTGAGACTAGACTGGTCATTCCCTTATCCTTTTCATCTTACTATTTTTTTTCTCATTGCCCATCACATATTATTCCTTCTACCCTCACTCTCTCTTCCTTTTTCCTTCTCTCTTTTTCTCTTTCTCTCTCTCCCTCCTCTCTTTTTCTCTTCCCCCCTCTCTCTCTTCTCTCTTTCTCTTTACAGTCATCATCAGGTTATACCATGGCAGGAAGAGCAGTTTGATACTGATCAATTGGTCAATGTGCGTTTAGTTGGAATATGTAAACCAACCATTGACAGGGACCCACCAATACCGCCTCACTTAGAAGTAACAGGAACGAATGTCAGAGTCTTTATTAACAATTCATTTAATTATTATGTAGAAACATGTTTCATATTGGGACTGGACAACCAACATACTTAGTGTACCAACATATACAGTGAGTCTTTGAATTGGTGTACATGTCATGATGTACATGTACATGTACATGTATGTGCTACAAATCAATACAGTGTATTGATTGAATTAGTGGGTATAGTTACAATATTAGGGTGTACATGTATATGTATTCACATCATCACATGTATGTATCATTATAGGGTAGTCTCCTTAATCCTATACTGACTAGAACTAGAGATAAGAAGGTATGCTTATACTCATGTTTGTTGTGTCTGGAGATACATTAAATTATAATTATTTTCATTAGAATGAAGAGCTCTTCATGTCTCTCATTGAAAGGTTTGTCTTTCTGTCTGACCTTTTATGATCTGTTCTCCTCCTCCTCTCTCCTACAGTATCCTGTTAGAACTGGCCCTTAAAGCTTATGTGTATTATCATGGACATTGCTTACAGTCAGAGGTGATAGTGTCTAAACCAATGTCACCAGTAGAACCATCACCACGTAAAATGCACTCTGTTGTCAAGAAAGACAAGGTTACTAATGGAACATGTACATGTACATGTTTTTCCTTGCCTTACCTTGCATTTACACTGCCAACATGTAAATTGGCTTTTGCTTACAAGTGTATGTGCACTGACAGTTTATTATTTTCAAGAGTACGTAATGTACTCTTGTTATTTTATATGCAGAACATGTGTTCACATCTACTTGTGAAGATGCTTGTTTTATACTGTTGTGCCATTTCTTGAATAGTATTATAACTCATTTGTTTTGTATAGGTTCAGTTCTTCAGTAAACTCCCATTGAAGGAGAGCGACATTAACATTGTTGAGGTAATCAATCACATTCATTGAGTCTCATATTTATGTTCATTGATCATTGAAATAGTAATTTCTATAATAAGTTAGCAACTTCACTCTATAAGCTTCATTTCTTCATTCATTAAAGCTTGTTCTCCACTTCTTTTTATTACTTATATTCATGCACGATATTTTGTACATGTACATGTTAGCTTCTGTCATTATCTTATTTTCTTCTTGTACAGTACTTCACTCATGTTATTTCTGAGCAGCAGTTATCCGAGTTGACTCGTGAGGGTAGCTACAGGCCACAAAAGGTTGTTCTAAAAGGTCACAATTGCTCTACTAGAGTCTGCAAACCAAAGCGACTGACTTAATCTTTTATTTTTGAAACACTTCCCATTTTTATATCGCACAAACGTGTGTGTGTGTGTATGAGTGAATTTTGTCACTGTATATCTGTTGTTGTTGATATTATTATTATTATTATTATTATTATTATTATGTCTTTATGTTTTTGAGATAAAACAGTGTGCATATTGACTATAATTATTATCATTTATGTATTATACTTTGTATGTACGTGTATGCAACATAGAGAGTTATGCATGTATATGTATGCAATAGTGTCTATATTGCAAGACCAAACACTGTCACTATACAGTACATGCTCTTGTTTTCCCATTTGATGGTGCAGCTCCCGTCGGTGTTGTTGTCCCAGTAGCACGACATTGCAGTGTGTAATCCAGCACCTGTCTTCTGCATCACAACACAATTCACTAGAGAATGTGAAGTAGAACAATAATGATACACAATCCTCAACAAAGTTTTGGTATAGTACAATTTTCTCTGATACATATACATGTACATGTTCTTATGTTGTTTATAATATGAATTTTGAGCTGATTTCAACCAAAAATGGACTTTTTACAAATTTTCAAAGTTGCTCCAAAATCAGGCCAAAGTCCCTGTACTATAGTACAGGGTCATTGGCCAAATTTCATCAAAAATGACAAGGAGAGAATTATTTATTTTTATAATTTTCTCTGATACATATACATGTTCTTATGTTGTTTCTAAATTTTGAGCTGATTCCGACCAAAAACGGATTTTTTATGAATTTTCAAAGTTTCTCGAAAGCTATAGTACATGTACATGTACAAGCATGCTGATTAGTTCACTTAGCATGCTTTGTGGGGAAAGTCAGACACAATGTGAATTACTAATGAAGCAACACAATAAAGGTAGAAATGTTAGCAACAGCTGCCAACAGAAACTGGTGAAGCATAATTTAAATTTAGTAATGTGTGAAACAGAGGGAGGGGCAGAAGAGAAGGTGTGAAGATATTCAAGATAAGATAGGGTTGTTGTAACTATCAACTCACCAATGTATTTGAATGGCTTGGCTAGTTTTGTTAACTGATTCAGACACTGTTCTACTACATTGGAGGTCCATTGGTTGACCTTATTGTGCTGGTAAGTAACTGTGCCCAGTACATTCTCTACAGCCTAACAAAAGTAGATAAAAACAAGTACAAAAAACCACTTGACACTTACATCCTTAACTATAGCTGCCACTTCTTCTACTACAAATGTGGTCTAATGAAAAGGGAAGGTCATAACGAAAGAAAAAGCACTTTTACTCACCTCTTCTGCTTGTACTTCATCCGCCATTTTTATAACACAGTGTAACTTCCGTACACTCTCCGCATTTTGAAAATGTGGCCCCACCCATTTTAAAATGGCCTCCATTGATGTCTTGTACTCTTGCTCTTCTTGTCACAGGAAGTACGCATTGGAAGAGCTCTCAAGTGCACAACAGCTTTGCAAAGTTTGTATATTTAGTATAGCTATTCTCAGCACTCATTTTTGTATGATAGGACTGTAGGAGAAAATACCCATCCGTTCAGTGTAAATTCTGCCAGTTGGATTTCCATCAGTTAGAGTAAGTTGTCATGTAAGAGAAGTGTGTGGATAGCTTACTTGAATAAAAGGGCAAATCTTTAGAACAGAAAAGATGTACATATACCCAGAATGCATGTATAACACAACCTTTGAAACGCAATTGAATATTATGGTAGTTGATTTGCTGGAGCTGTTATTGTTACCATTATTATTATTATTATTTATAAAATTAGTTCAACTGCACATGAGTCAGTATGTGAGCAATGTAGTAAAGAGCACAGACAATATGGGAAGGTAAGTACACTTTATGTGTCAGTGCTGCTCATTCGATGAACTGTAGCCAAAGAACTGCTCCATTTGTAATCTACTCACAGCTTTTAAAGGAGATACATGCACCAGGTTAGATAATCAAAATATTTCTTATGATTCGCTTAATTTATATTACCGTTTTAGATGTACTCATTCACGAAAGAAATATGGCCCTCCAATAAAATGTGACACATGTAAGCTATGCTGTGCATTTGTAAAATCAGATGAATCAAAAAAGAAAGTGAGTGATATATAGTGTATTTTGAATTGTATTATTATAAATTATTATTTCTGTATAGGTTGATGGGAAAACACTCTGCCTTTTATGTACACTGAATTATAAAAAGACAATGTTTAAGAAGAGACAGAGAGAACTAGAGAAGA